CTCACAACTCTCTCAAGGGACTGAATTGCACTGAGCCATTTGTACTGCTTTATAATTTAACGGTTCATTTCTTATGTTATATATCTATCTGTATAAATACATATAGAATTATTAGTATTCTGGGTTTGTTTCTCTAGAGAACCCTGTCTAACACACAGGGCTTTGAAGCAGTTTGAACAGGTTCAGTCATGGCTGATGAAGCAAAACAGGAACAGACCAGAATTTGCACAATGTGGTGCCTGGAATGAAAACAAGTAGGAGAAACTATGAGTCATGACTCTAGAATGGGCGACTTAGAAGAGACATAGATAGCCTTTTCAGGAGCCTGATGCAAGTGATGAGATTACTGTGAAAGCTCCACAAAGCACGACACACATTCGAAGCAGCGCAATCAGCTCCCATTTTTGAGCAGAGCATCACTGTTTCTGACTCTGCCAGGCAAGATTCCACTGCTATGGAATCTGGCTGCTGCCCTTGTTTTTAATCGAGTGTCAACCCATGATTTTCCTCCTCCCAGTTATCATTCTAAGCAACCACATTTTTGCAAACTTCAATCCATTGTGGTTTTTCATCATAGCCAATGATAAAACCAAGTAAATCCAGCTTGAAACTCTGAGGTCAACTAAAATCAACTATGATTTCCCTCTGAGCAAAGTAGCAATGAGTAAATAAGTCGATGACATGAAGATCCTGCCATCACTGCCCAGTGCACTGCCCATCGAATGGGCCCAGAGAGGCTGTGTGAGTCTGACGACTGACTGTTAGGGTTTAGATCTCAGCACTTGCCCCAAGTTGGGACTTCACAGACCAACACCCAAGGGCACCAGAGAAACTCTTAATTGGGTTGGAAACATATTAGAGGAAGGATTAGGTGCAGAGTGTAAGAGTTTGTTCTGAGCTGAGGCTGAGTGATTAATTAGTGCCCTGGGGACCACTTGTTCCCTCCTGGAAAAGAAACTCACTGGCTTCATTCAGAAGGGCAAGGCGAACAGACACTGCAGAGCAACCACAGGAAGTACACTTCTGACTAAAGCCCTCTCCAGTGCCACAAAACAATATCCACATCCACCGAGAGGTGATGAAGGGGCTGTGAATGGGTGAGGTGTGTGAAGAGAGGGCAGCAGAGACCTAGAGCAGTGGTTCTCAACCTGTGGGTCGTGACCCCTTTGGGGATGGAAT